TATATATATATATATATATATATATATATATATATAGTGTCACAACCCCCCCCCCCGTAAGTCCCAATTATGGGAGGAAGCTAACAGCTTCCATTTATTTATCAGCACAAATATAACACTATATATATATTCCAGAAAATGATCACGTCAAAATTCTGTAAATTAAGAATTCTCTAAATTAAGTTGCTCTGTGTTGCTTAAATGATAAATTCCCTAAATTCTCTCGTGGATTCTAAATTCTCTAAATCCAGGAATTAACCTAAGTGAAATGGAAAGAGGGGGGGGGAGAGAAAACCGCATAAATAAAGAAGAACCAGTTTCAAATAAATTCTGTTTGGATGAAATAGATTTAAAAATCTAGAAGGGCGGATGAACTGAGCATGCGGCCAAAATTGTTAGAAGCAAGAACTCCTAAACTTAATTCGATCCACCAGGGAGCTTGAATCCCGAAATATAAACAGATTTTTTTTTTTAGAAGAACCCTCCATCTTTTGTAACCCAGCCAAACATGCCTAATTGTGAAACATCAAACCTTAACCATCGAGCGAGCATACAGTATTTATCAATCACGTTGCTGAAATGATTTTTTTTTTAAGGATTCTAACAATTGGGTCACGGAGATGTCTGCTCGGAAGTAAGACTCCTTAGATGTATACAGTACACTTTGTAAGAGTAAGGTAAGGTATGTGTCTGATCTAAACTCAGAGATATTCACTTCCAAGCAGACAAGCTCATCGATCCAAACATTTACGGAAAATACGGTTACCTAAGAAATCTGAAAGAGGCAAATTTCCTCTCCTTGTCCCTCCTCATCCTCACCTGGGTCTATGGAAGCTGTGTTGTAGGCCCTGTGAATTGCGAAATAACTTAATAATTCACATTTGTTTTGACCAATGCTCCGCCTACTATTGATTTCCAAGTAATGCTGCCGGACTTTTTAGAACACTGACGATTACTCAAAATTCCCTGATTGCCCTCCCTTACCTTCTTCTCCCCCCCCCCAAAAAAAGAAGCCCTTCATGCTCAGAGGAAACTTTTTCCCCAGCGCTTCCAACCCAGAGCTGCTACAACCCCTTAAGTTCCAAGCGCTTTGCCAGAGAAAGCCAAGCAGGCTACGCCATAAGCAATCTGGTTCTACCACAAAACCGCTTTTGACGGGTCACGAAGCAATCTAACCCAAATTAGCCAAGGACGCTTTTAAAATTCTATTTTTTTTATTTTCTTTAAAAATATGTACAGGTCGGAAGCATGCCTCTCTTGCGCCCCTCCGACAACTCCTCGTTTTTGCTTGCTTTCCCGCAAAGTACCATTAATGCCCGGGGGTGAAGCGGCAGGGTGGGACGAGCCTGGGGAACGGGGCAGAGGGTTTCCAGAGCCCTGACTTTGCCTATCGACGCACGAAGACGACCCCCGTTTGGTTTGAAAGAGGAGCACCCCCCTGCCCAATCCCCAGAAGCAACAAGCTGGCTTAGGTACGTCTGTACCAGGAACGAGACCAAACAAGAGAAGGCGGAAGTCATATAATTCTTTCTCTCCAGCCTAGAAAACAAGCGAAAGAAACCACCCCAAAGAGGATTCCCATAAATATTTTAAATATATATATATATATATAATATAATATAATATAATAGCAATGAATACACATGGTGTATTTCTTAACAATGCCAAAAGCACAATTCTTCTTTCCGATCAACAACAGACGGATGGGTGAAGAACAGGGCGTAAAGGGTCGAGACCCGGCTGGCCTCCAAGATCGTTTGAGTCCCGTTCTCAGTAATCGAGCTTATTGTAGAGGTTGTAAAGAGGTAAGGCGGACAGGTTGCTGCCGGGGTAGTATAAGGGCGCCGGGAAGGCGATGGACCTGGGCACGGGCACCCTGAGGACGGAATTGTCTCTGAAAACCAGTGGCATCCCCACCAGAGTCTGGGCCGAGGCGTGGGCCATGTTGGCCGCCTCCAGTTCGGCCGAGAGCTGCCGCTTCCATTTGTTCCGCCGGTTCTGGAACCAGGTTTTCACCTGAGTCTCTGTCAGTTGCAAGCTGGAGGCCAGGCAGGCCCGCTCGGAGCTGCTCAGGTAGCGCTTCATGTCGAAGGTGGACTCCAGCTGGTAAACTTGGCTCCGCGAGAAGACGGTGCGCGTCTTCTTCTTGGCCGAGCCGGATTGCCTCTCCATCCCGTCCCTTTGACGGTCCGCCGAGCAGGCGGGCGAATTCGGAGCGAAGGGCTTCTCTTTCTCTTCCTTAAAATCCGGCTGGGACGGAGAGAGGAAAGGAGGCGTCCGGTCGGAACCGAGCGCCGCGCCGCTCCCTTTGGAATTGCCTGGAGGGAAGAGGAAGAGAAGCAGAAGTGGGCATGGATATTGTGATTTGTCCCGGGCGGAGGAGAGGGGAAATCCATCATAGCCCACCCCAAATAATACACACTGTGGGGGGGAAGGGGGGTTAAACCGCTGGTGTTACCCAATATTGTTGTGTTGTGCTGTGCTGTGCTGTAATCAATCAATCAATCAATCTATCTATCTATCTATCTATCTATCTATCTATCTATCTATCTATCTATCTATCTATCTATCTATCTATCTA